TAAAGAGGGAGGAAAAAAGGAAAAAGATGGAAGGGAGAAGTTAAAGGGGAAAGGGGGAAGGAAGTAATGGAGAGGATAAAGAGGGAGGAAAAAAAAAGGAAAAAGATGGAAGGGAGAAGTTAAAGGGGGAAGGAAGTAATGGAGAGGATAAAGAGGGAGGAAAAAAAAGGAAAAAGATGGAAAGGAGAAGTTAAAGGGGAAAGGGGGAAGGAAGTAATGAAGAGGATAAAGAGGGAGGAAAAAAAAAGGAAAAAGATGGAAAGGAGAAGTTAAAGGGCAAAGGGGGAAGGAAGTAATGAAGAGGATAAAGAGGGAGGAAAAAAAAAAAGGAAAAAGATGGAAAGGAGAAGTTAAAGGGCAAAGGGGGAAGGAAGTAATGAAGAGGATAAAGAGGGAGGAAAAAAAAAAGGAAAAAGATGGAAAGGAGAAGTAAAAGGGGAAAGGGGGAAGGAAGTAATGAAGAGGATAAAGAGGGAGGAAAAAAAAAAGGAAAAAGATGGAAGGGAGAAGTTAAAGGGGAAAGGGGGAAGGAAGTAATGAAGAGGATAAAGAGGGAGGAAAAAAAAAGGAAAAAGATGGAAAGGAGAAGTTAAAGGGGAAAGGGGGAAGGAAGTAATGGAGAGGATAAAGAGGGAGGAAAAAAAAAAAAGGAAAAAGATGGAAAGGAGAAGTTAAAGGGGAAAGGGGGAAGGAAGTAATGAAGAGGATAAAGAGGGAGGAAAAAAAAAGGAAAAAGATGGAAAGGAGAAGTTAAAGGGGAAAGGGGGAAGGAAGTAATGAAGAGGATAAAGAGGGAGGAAAAAAAAAGGAAAAAGATGGAAGGGAGAATTTAAAGGGGAAAGGGGGAAGGAAGTAATGAAGAGGATAAAGAGGGAGGAAAAAAAAAAGGAAAAAGATGGAAAGGAGAAGTTAAAGGGGAAAGGGGGAAGGAAGTAATGAAGAGGATAAAGAGGGAGGAAAAAAGGAAAAAGATGGAAGGGAGAAGTTAAAGGGGGAAGGAAGTTATGGAGAGGATAAAGAGGGAGGAAAAAAAAAGGAAAAAGATGGAAAGGAGAAGTTAAAGGGGAAAGGGGGAAGGAAGTAATGGAGAGGATAAAGAGGGAGGAAAAAAAAAGGAAAAAGATGGAAAGGAGAAGTTAAAGGGGAAAGGGGGAAGGAAGTAATGGAGAGGATAAAGAGGGAGGAAAAAAAAAGGAAAAAGATGGAAAGGAGAAGTTAAATGGCAAAGGGGGAAGGAAGTAATGGAGAGGATAAAGAGGGAGGAAAAAAAGGAAAAAGATGGAAGGGAGAAGTTAAAGGGGAAAGGGGGAAGGAAGTAATGAAGAGGATAAAGAGGGAGGAAAAAAAAGGAAAAAGATGGAAAGGAGAAGTTAAAGGGGAAAGGGGGAAGGAAGTAATGAAGAGGATAAAGAGGGAGGAAAAAAGGAAAAAGATGGAAGGGAGAAGTCAAAGGGGAAAGGGGGAAGGAAGTAATGAAGAGGATAAAGAGGGAGGAAAAAAAAAAAGAAAAAGATGGAAGGGAGAAGTCAAAGGGGAAAGGGGGAAGGAAGTAATGGAGAGGATAAAGAGGGAGGAAAAAAAAAGGAAAAAGATGGAAGGGAGAAGTCAAAGGGGAAAGGGGGAAGGAAGTAATGAAGAGGATAAAGAGGGAGGAAAAAAAAAAGAAAAAGATGGAAGGGAGAAGTCAAAGGGGAAAGGGGAAGGAAGTAATGGAGAGGATAAAGAGGGAGGAAAAAAAAAAGGAAAAAGATGGAAGGGAGAAGTTAAAGGGGAAAGGGGGAAGGAAGTAATGAAGAGGATAAAGAGGGAGGAAAAAAAAAAAGGAAAAAGATGGAAGGGAGAAGTCAAAGGGGAAAGGGGGAAGGAAGTAATGAAGAGGATAAAGAGGGAGGAAAAAAAAAAGGAAAAAGATGGAAGGGAGAAGTTAAAGGGGAAAGGGGGAAGGAAGTAATGAAGAGGATAAAGAGGGAGGAAAAAAAAAAGGAAAAAGATGGAAGGGAGAAGTTAAAGGGCAAAGGGGGAACGAAATAAAGGAGAGGATAAAGAGTGAGGAAAAAAAGGAAAAAGATGGAAGGGAGAAGTTAAAGGGGAAAGGGGTAAGGAAGTAATGAAGAGGATAAAGAGGGAGGACAAAAAGGAAAAAGATGGAAGGGAGAAGTTAAAGGGGAAAGGGGGAAGGAAGTAATGAAGAGGATAAAGAGGGAGGAAAAACAGGAAAAAGATGGAAGGGAGAAGTTAAAGGGGAAAGGGGGAAGGAAGTAATGAAGAGGATAAAGAGGGAGGAAAAAAAAAAGGAAAAAGATGGAAGGGAGAAGTTAAAGGGCAAAGGGGGAAGGAAGTAATGGAGAGGATAAAGAGGGAGGAAAAAAAGGAAAAAGATGGAAGGGAGAAGTTAAAGGGGAAAGGGGGAAGGAAGTAATGAAGAGGATAAAGAGGGAGGAAAAAAAAAAGGAAAAAGATGGAAGGGAGAAGTTAAAGGGCAAAGGGGGAAGGAAGTAATGGAGAGGATAAAGAGGGAGGAAAAAAAGGAAAAAGATGGAAGGGAGAAGTTAAAGGGGAAAGGGGGAAGGAAGTAATGGAGAGGATAAAGAGGGAGGAAAAAAAAAGGAAAAAGATGGAAAGGAGACGTTGAAGGGGGAAGGAAGTAAAGAGAGGGTGGAGGTAATGGGGGCAGGAAAGGTAAAGGAGAGAACACAAGGAGTGTGGAGAAGAAGGACGAAGAGGATAAGGAGCAAGAAAAGAGGGAAAAAGATGGAAAGGAGAAGTTGAAGGGGGAAGGAAGTAAAGAGAGGGTGGAGGTAATGGGAGCAGGAAAGGTAAAGGAGAGAACACAAGGAGTGTGGAGAGGTAGGACAAAGAGGATAAGGAGCAAGAAAAAAAAGGAAAAAGATGGAAAGGAGAAGTTCAAGAGTAAGGAAGTAAAGGAGAGGGTGGACATATAGGGGGCAGGAAAGGTAAATGAGAAAACCAGAGGGGGGTGAAAAGGTAGGAAGAAGAGGATAAGGAGCAAGAAAAGAAGGAAAAGGATGGAAAGGAAAAGTCGAAGGGGAAGGAAGTAAAGGATAATACAAGGTCATGTTGAGATAGGAAATTTCTCTTTGAGTATTAAAAAATATTTCACAAGTAAGTGGAGAAGCAAGTAAGATATTTTTTAAAATGAGAAGAGCAATTTCAAATCTCCAAGTGGCCATGTAATTTTCTATTTTCTATGTTAACACCAATGAAATACTTAATCAATCAATAATATGATGATAACATGTCACTTTCATGTGTGGAGATATCATGTTTTGGTGTGAAAACGCACTTAGTACTTCATTGATGTTTATATAATAATTATAATAATAATAGAATGAGTTGATGTTCAACTCATTCATTCCACCTGAATTCTCATGACTATATATATATGCATGCTCACTAGTTTTTCTAGTTTGAGCACTCTGGCATGGCTTAGATGATCCCACATATGTGAGATCACTTGAGGTGGCTATATGGTCTTACCTCCATCCTAGCATCAGCACTGCACTGATGAGGCCCAGAAGGCCGAAACAGTACTGTCTGCAGTTATATATATATATATATATATATATACATACATACACCTACACTATGTCCATGAGGCTGATATTGTCCACAAATTTATATCATAAGAAATGATTGATGCCTAAATCTGTTATTTATTGAATAACAGTGTTTCCTAAATGAACATCTCACTACAAAGTACTTAAATAAGTGTACTTAAAAAAAGAATCAAACCTGTTGCAGTTTTTTTATCAACTCATTTATCTCTGATTCTCGGGTGGAGCTTTCCTAAAAAAGTTGCTGAGTCATTATTAAAAAAAAAGAGCCACAAGCCAATGACAAACTTGCATATATTGACAAAACACAACATAACACATTATATTTCTTTTTATGATTGGTCCCTGGAGAAAAACATTGGATGAAAATGTATCCTGTACTAAAACCAATAAGGGTTCAAGTTAATTATCACAGAATTGCTTTGAACCCTGATTTGGCCTCACATATATGTGCAATGACCCTGAGACAGAAAACCATAACACCATCCCTCTTTGTGCAAGGTCCTGTGATCTATAATTAGCCAATCATCCAGAGAAAAATAATTCATGGGTATCTAATAATATACACCCGCCAGCATAACATAGTGGCCACAACTTCAAAAGTTGCGGCTCAGAAATTAACGTAAAATAAAGGAACGGCAGAGAAAAACTGGAAAAATATCTACAGGAAACAGTTAGAGTGCAAAAAATTATTGTTAATAATAATTAATAATAATAATAATAACAATGATGACAATTGAATGACCATCATATTTTCTTTACCTGATAAGTAACACAAAATATCTTATTAACCAGATATGCAGGAAACTGACAACCACACTAAGATGACACAATTCAGAAAAATGCCAAAATTCCATACCAATATTTGCACAAATTTTCACAGATTGCGTAAAATAAGAAAAAAACTTCTTAATACCTCAATCTCTTTTTGCAAAGCCTTCACCTCACCAGCTTTCTTCTCTACGACCTGTGGAGAGGTGAAAAGAGGACATTTAAAATAAAGTCAAAATTTTGACAAAATGAATCAGACAGACTAAGACTAAGACAAGCAGTAAATCTGCCTGTTACCTGAACTCTTTTTTTTGAAAGTCTCTGTTTGAAGTTACATTCATCATGGAAGTATTTTTTTTCTGTTGAGCTATGTACAGTACAGCATCTCTATTTTGCTCTAAATGCCACTATAATGAAGAAGTTGAACTCTATACTCTATAATTACCCTGTTTCAATAAAAATGCCTACCAAAAGACTCAAGAATTAAAAGTAATCTGAAGTACTGTTAGATCCTAACTGGTGATAAATGTAAATGCTTTTAAAGAGTGGAACTGAAAGACTGGCTGTATATCTAAAATATAAAGGCTTTGTCAGTTAAAAGGCCAAATTTTCTGGAAATTAATGATAATGTGTGTCATACAAAACATACAAAAAATTTTCCTTTTGTAATTTCTTAAAGTAAACCTAGCATTAAAAAAAATCAACGCATGTTAATAACTCAACTATGAACATTGCCTGCACAAAGTCATGTTTTTATATCTGTATCATATTGATGACATAAAACTTCACTTAACCACAATGAACCATGTTAGAAAAGGGACAGTTTGATAAACTTAGTGTTAGCAGTTACATGCAGTTTGACAACAAACCTCTTTTGCTTCCCTAAAATCTTCAGTTAATAAGTTTGGCACTGTATCTTGGCCCTGAAAGAAAGGGACACACATGACAGTTGTAAATACAAAGAAATACTCCATATTGAATTAAAGACCATGACCAAAAACAATAATGTTATTCAACAGGCTATTGGCTTTATATACCAGGATCAGAATTCCAATTTGAACCCTTTTGAATAAAAATATGTTCATATAAATATTAGCCATTAGGGTTGATATATTGGTTAATAGAGGGATTTCATCATGATTTTGGACAATACTAAAGGAATAGAGAAAACAGATTGTAGAACTGTCTACAATTTTATAAAAACACAACCCATATTTACACTAACCAAAGGTAAGCTGTGATGGTAATCGCTGTTTTCAGCAGGCTTTCCAACTTGTTGCACCCAACTATCTTGTTTCCCTGGAGAAGGTAATACAATATGGAAATAAATAAAAAATAGATCAAGAATTGCTTAGGGTTATTAAGTAAATGATGTTCAATTAGGTATTTCAATTCAAATTTTTCTTCATAATGGAGTCATGATCAATAAGCTGATTTACCTGGATCAAAGAAAACACAAATCACCCCTGTTTAGAATCATTTCCACCTAGGCTCACTACAAACTGCAAAATAGTGCGACACCAAACAACTGAAACTGCAGAAAAACTGTCCCCTAGACTGAGTAGATAAGAGAAGCATTTGAACCAACTTGTAGATGATTGCCCATAAATTACCTTTGTGATTATTGTACTCCCAGAAAGTTTGATTTTCATCTTTTTATTATTTATTCATTTCTTTTTTTACAAAAATAGTGTTCTCTGTTAGCAATACTATCATAAGCATTTAGACTGAAAGTCGTGGAAAACACAAACCAAAGACAAACCAAACCTGCTCCTCTGGGGGAAACTGGTTTTGGATCTCCTGTGGGCATTTCTTTGACTGGCTGGCTTCCAGAACCCTCAGAGCTGCCTGCACTAATTTCTACCCCCAGGTCGCTCACTGACAGAGGGATAGAAAAATTTTCAGCCAACTCTGTCCCCTGGTCACTATCTGTATCATGATTGTTACCCGTATCAACAGTTGGTTGTGGAAGCTGATGACAGTAACTTTTGGTTGAAGCTCCATGACTTATTTCATTTTGAGGATTCTCCCCAACTTTTTTCCCTGAAGAAGCTAATAAAAAAAATGGATAAATTTAGTAAGGGGTTTCTAAAAACTTTCATTCAATGTCTGTTAGTACCAGAACTTCAGTAGATGGTCATAGAATAATTCTGTTTTATTATCATAAATTGCCTGTTGGATATACTATGAGTATGTACACTCCTTATACCATATTTATTTACTTATATGGTGCACCATTTTCTACAAAAAAAATATCCTTGTTTGATCAAAAATCTGCTCAAAACTTGGGGTGCATCTTATAACCGAGTATTTGCATGCAACAAAATATAACTTTTCCAAATTTCCCTAATAAACTGAAATGAGTATGTAAATAAATATGACAAATAAGATAAAGTCAATGATCAACGTCGTTTGTCTTTTGTTTATTCATTTACCCAAATGGGTAAAAACGACGTTGATCATTGACTTTACCTGATTTGTTGTTTCTAAAAAGAACCGGGGTGGCTCTGTAAAGAACCGTTTGTTTGAAAGCTTGGCTGAGATTAAGATTAAGATGAGATTTGCAACTGATGAATGAAAGATCTGTCAGATGAGTATTGTTTATAAGCATAAAAATGGATCAATTAGTATTCATAACTCAAAACACTGTCTCCTGAGAAGCATGACTTGAGTGAATTAAAAAATGTGACTTTTATGCTATTTTCCATGTGTGACTTTTTTGCTTTTGTTTTGAGAATGAGAGCATTGTAATTAGTAAATTTTGGAAGCAAATTGTTGTAAGCACAGTGAATGTGGTCAACAAAATTCCCGTAATTCTGGGTGCGCTTTATAACAGCATATTTATATGAAATTTTCATTTTGCTCACTTGTTACAATTGTCTTCGAAAGTTTAGGGTGTCTTGTAACCGAGTGCACCTTACAAGTGAATAAATACAGTAACCTCTTTAAACTCACTGATATCTTACTGCATTAGTTGTTATTTTGAAAATAAATGTAGGGGGGAATGTCTGATATGACTCAAGTAGGTAATTAATCAACTTTGCTGCCTACACTCCAGATTTTTCATGGCTGATGAACTGCAGGAATTCTTATTGCAGTTTCTGACAATTCATTCACTGAAACAAGAGAATGCTACATGTAATGTGCTTATACAACTTTTATTGCTGGAGAGTACCTTCTGGCAATTTTGCCAACTAGCTCTAGAGACATCCTCAAGTACCATGTGTTTTATAAATTTTTAGAAAGATCTCTTGCTGCCATTGAATTGGTTAATTGAGGACTGTGCATGACCTGCAGCCCACCTCACATAATGTCAACATCCATGGCTCCGTATTCGGAACCAAGCATAACTCAAGCATTAGTCTCAAGATTTGTATATCACTTTGGGATCACTGAAGGCGAATTACAATTATGCACTGCAAAATTTGGTTCCTAATTATCTTCTTGGGAGTTTCGTTTTTTATACTCATCCTCGCTGAAACATTTCACAGATTTACAATTTGTTGGTTAGTCTTAATTGAAATTAAAATTTGACAATTTGCGCGATGGACTCCGGTGAAAAGGAGGCACTGCTGATTATCAACCTACCACCAGTGAAAACTTACCTTCCATCTTTTAATTGATCACCAGCTGACTGTAAAACCTAGAATACAAATTATGAGTATTTCAAAATCTTTTTTCATAATTCTTGATGACTGCCTCTACAACAGACTGAATAGCATGTGCTCCTACTGGGTTTGTTATCTATCTATCAAAGTAGATCATGTAGGCTTAAATAAAGTTCAGGTTAAAATGATTTCGAACTACGTCTTTTGATATAAATTTTCCTTCGATCTGAAATCATGACCGATGAAGCTGACTTACTTGTGACAATTTAAGATTAATAGAGCGTTCAGAATGCGTGATTTCCACTTTCTCATTACTTTTTCTCTTCTACTTGACATAAATAGTGTCCCCTGTTGGCGGTATTGGCATAAGCACCGAGAAATACATGTCCGAAAGTTGTGAAAACAGAATCCGAAGACATAACGAAAGTGAGTTAAACTCCTGACCACTATAACGTAAAGATCACTTTAACCTACAGATAAGAGAAGTTACACATACCTGTTTTCAAAAAAAGTGGCAGAAGTTAAGAGACCAAACGTGATAGCGAAATAGCTTCGAAATAACAAGAAAGCGAATACGTCGTTAAAAATAGTGAAAGTTGTGTTGTTTCGGGTCAATCAGCTGTCATGTGACTCGTTCCCGCGCCGCCGCAGACATGGGTAAGAATCAGAAGAACGCAAACCAGAGGGAATCTGGATGGCGGAATGTCCATGGCCGCCCTTGAGAAGGCAGTTAGGACTACCGGCTCTGAAACTACAGCTGGGCAAGAAAGAATCCCACCTGAGGTGCAAAGAAAGTTGGATGCGCTTAGAGGGAACAACTGTTAAAAATTATAATGATGTTCTTATCGTCACCATTGCGAGAAGGAAGAATACAGGAGTGAGTGCAGCAGCCACCACGTCCCAAATTGGTCTCAATTGTGGGGAGGATCCTGGCCAGAACTATCTTGAAGAGATTCAGGACAATCAAAGAGGAAGTTCTACCAGAAAGCCATTGTGTCTGGTTTTAGGTCTGGTAGCATCACAACGAACAAGATCTTCACCTTTCGAAGTTACAGGAGAAGGCGATCGAGTAACATCAACCTTTTTACGTTGTCTTTGTCAAAGGCAAAACTCAAAGGCCTTTGAATCTGTGGATAGGGAATCGCTGTGAAAGATCCTGGAAATGTGTGGGTTTCCAGATAAACTTGTGAACTTGTCAACGTTATCAAATTTTTCTACGAAGGAATGCTGGAAGAGTGTCAGTTAGTGACGAGCTGATCGCTCCACACACCATTAATCATGGCTTTAGATAAGGTCCATGCCCCTACGTTATTCTCAATCTATGTGACTACATTTCAGGAAACGATCAACATTAACCTAAAATGGGGACGTACATCAGGACTAGGACGGATGGAGGACTCTTTAACATGGCCCATCTACGATCGTCAACCAAGACGTGAGGACATTGAATTAAAGAGCAATTTCATGCAGACGCCTCCGCCCGAGTCGTTACTGGTGTAAATGTTATCTAGGAAATTGACCTCAGATTTTCGTTTTCTGTAGACCTGTTCAGGCTCTGTGCCAGTGTCTCCTTATCTGAGCTATTGAACTAAGCCTCTCCTGACAACCCCTGGAGGGCGAGCCGCAAATGTTACCAGTGCCCCAAGAAGCACATTGAGAAGTAGTGAAACAAATAATGCTTCAAGAAAATGTATTTCTTGTTTTCTTCACAAAGTACAACAATAACTATTTTCAACTATCCCGGATGTAAGTGACTACGTCACAAGCCACGTGTTTCCGATACAATTATCACTTATTTCTACCAGTTTACGCCCCAACACAAAACCTGTTAATTGACGGTGAAGTGTTGAGGGAGTAACTCTTCCTAACTCTCCCTTTTTTAAACTTTACTTTATTGATGACAACTTCTAAGAGGATTATCTGCGTTACAATCAATTTCGCAAGACCAGACAACAGTCTTTATAGGTGACGGCAATCATCCCAAGTGTCAGAGAATTTTCAGTAAATGTCCATCGACCTACGACAGCCAATCGTGTTGGGCTGCTTGTAACTTTTCATGCATACTAAGTAACTTCCTTCAATTTATTTATCATTTACAGAAACGACTTTACTCCTTAATTTTCTTACTGATATACCTCAGTTCCAGAATAACGAACACGATCTAGCGACATCAGAATATGACTTTCTATGAGAACAGCAGAGAAAATTACCTAAATTAAAGGTTGTTACATAACAATAACGCAAACAGAAAATTGGAGATGAAGGGGCGTACCTGAGGTGTCGCCTTTCCCATAAATTAAAATAACAACTAAATAGAAATTCAGTTCAGAAGGTGTAAAGAAAGTTATGTTTACAAACTCGGCCACCAATAACCGAGTCGCTGAATACAAGCTCCTAAGAGGAGTCAGTTAACATATATAAAGAAATGTAGAAACCAGGCCTTCTCCAATCGTAAATTCTATATAAAAAACCTTGCAGAATTAACCCAACACAAAAGAACCATTTACGAAAATATTTCCAGAAAATCTAGGCACAAAAAACGAACTTGGCGAAAACAATTTTGCGATCTGTTATACGATTAATTCACAATAAGAGAAAATACGAGTTAAGCTTAAAACAGCTGACAATAGGTGTTCAATAAAGTTAAAGAGTATTTTCTCTTTATAAATGTTATTAGTGAAGGGTTTTTTGTAAGTCCTCCGGGTGAGGCGATTCTACCCTAAATAAATATCTACTGTATTTAAATTCCCATCACTTGAAGACACAAATTTTAAAAGGACACCTCTTTAACTTTTGTCAGTTTTATCGTTGAACTAAAGTAATGCTCCACCATCTGCACCCACATTGAGTGTATTCAGATGATCAGATGACAAACGAATTATGGCCATCCTCGTTGTTATGGGCATTCACGAAAATCCCTTATCACTGAGTAAAAATTCTCTGTTTTTTTTTCCTAGTTAATTATCTGTTTCCTCTTGGCTTTAGGAAATGCATGAGGTATTGACTTAAAATTAACCAAACAAATGCTCAATTTCTGAATATTAGAGGACTTGTCTATCTTAAAGGCAATACAAGGAGGAACCGGTAGGGTTTGAACTCAATGGCCTATAAAAAAGTCTGTTTTTTGTTTTATATATATATATATATATATATATTTATATATCGAATAAAATATTAGAGGAAATTCAGCTGGTCTCAGTTGTTTACGATTATCTTAAGCGCAAAGAGCTTTTTCCCGCACAAATTCATCTTCAGCGTCTACGCACCACTTATTGCCTGTTTTTTTCTTTTTTTCTCGAGTCTACCGGATACTGTTTCACAAATTGGATAATAATAGCTTTCTACGATTTGTCCAGAAACAGGAATTGCGAATATGCTATTTGATCTTATCCAACTTTTAGCTTAGCAGGAACTTTTCGCTCCAATCTTCCTGCTGAGTCGTATTCAGCAAATGAAAAATGTCGTTTCGTATGACAGGTTATTTTTGACTACGTAAAGTGCGCATAACTTTCAATCTGACCTGGTGTTGTACGACAGCCTATGATTAATTGCACTATCATCCTTTAAGTGGTGTATAAACAAGACTCACAGCAAAACCATAATGTAAGTTTATGCATTTTTTCTAACAATTTCTCTTTCAAATGATGATTTCTTTTGCATTTTTCTGCAAAGTAAAATGACGTTTTGAATAAAGAAAAGGAAATAAATAGGTACTGTAAACAGCAATGACAAGAGTTATATGCCAAAAAGCTATTCTTAAAAACGATTTTCGGAACAATTTATCGTTAAACAAAATTGTTTGATACAGTACGTTTTATTATTATCACACAGCACGAAGTAGAGTACAAATAACGCGTGAATAGAGTACAAATATCCTGCAATATTTTGACGAGCAAGTAAGGCGAGTAAAAATACGGCACAAATCGTAAAAATACTCAGCGATACTACACACCAAAACATCCAATCAGTGAGATATATTTATCAGGTATGATTTATATGTGATGTGTAATCGCCCCAATTGTTTTGAGACAACTGATGAAATCGTAGCTTGTATACTCTTTGGTGGAAAGTATCAGTGGCCATTTTTGTCTTCAACATAATATCAAGACGTCTTGAATTTTTGCTAACGTTTATTCTTAACTGTTTCCTTAATCTGCAGTGATCAGAGTTTTATACAGAGCTAACTTTAATTTGAGGCAATCTTCGTATTTTGTACCTTTATTGGGCGCTCATGGAAACCATTTGTATGAAATAATAAGTTGATGCAAAACGCGTTCATTTAAATTTCCTCCATTGAAAGACAGAAAGATCGATCTGATTATTTGTTATGTCAGAGAGAGTCTACCAGCTGTGTGAATTTGAGCTGAAATATGAAGTACGTGTTCTGTTCTCCCCCAGCTAATCATTAAGCTACATTGATCGCTTGCATTGGGATGATTTTTTCAGTCTAGTGACTAATAATTAACATCACATGTAAAGAATAGGATCTTTTTCACAAACATTTGTCGCGAGTCGGAAAAAATGGACAAATTGGGCCTTACGTTATGACATCTTTTTTAACTCGTGAATTGCGCGCATGCGCAAGAGCGAGTTATAGATACGATGTGGGGAATGCCATTCGCTCGCTCGCTCGCTCGATTGGTCGATTCCTGTAAACTTTTTTTAGATTTTAGGCTTTTGAGTGCATTTGATAGTTTTTGGCGAGCAATAAACAGACGAAATGGCGACCTTTGTTGCTAAGAATAGTGGTGGGGTGAAAAAGAAGCCAATGATAATCTTAAAAGAGTTTTTTTTTGTTTTAGTTTCAACAAGCGGCGCCAGCGACTGGCAGGCATGCAAGGATTCACACTGAAATAACAGAACAACCTTCGTTTTTCATAAAATTGTAATTTACAATCCTTGAACTTGAAAACAATCCGAGGATTCATTGAAAATATCACTTACTGCGAAGCGCTCGGAGTTTACAGATGTTCAAAAGCTTTTTATGTTATGGCGTGAGATTGAGGACAAAATTGATCATTACGTTTCGTCGCGTGTGTTATTCCTGTGTGAAGCAACAAAAGATGCCGGCGACTGACGAAATAACAAGTTAACACGAAAATCAGATAACACCTAAACAAACAATTTTAGCTACCGATTTTCAGTGAATTTTTAAAGAACAATTTTCTTTTAAGTTTCAAGACAATTTGGAGATTCAACATACATACAACGTACTAAAATGCGAAAGTTACTCACCACAAAATTGATAAATAGGCCTGAAATGAAATTCTATCTTGTTATTGATTATACGTTGCCTAGCACGTGACTTAAATCTTCCCAGGCGAAGGTCCAAAATGACGGTGGCAGGCTTGGCTTAGTTATATCACTCAAAACTCGTTCCCGTTTGTCTCATTTGATAAAGAGGGAATCGTTAATGTTTTCATTAAGACAGTATTGCCTTGATTTTCTAATATTTACAACGAAAGACAGTAAATTTCACTTTTCACCCACATTTACTTCCAACCTTTTCTTTTCAATTCACGAGTTTGCTCACAGAGCACTTTGATTTAGTACTGACTACAGGAGGAGTCTGTCATGTTCACTCACGAATTTCAAAATGCCATTTTTAGTCGC